GGCTAGGGCCAAGTGAATGGGCGGGGCTTGGTGGGTGGGTGGGACCACTGGGTGACGGGAACCTGGATGGAGGCTAGGTTGAGTGGGTGAAGCTAGGGCAGGGGTTGGTGGGTGGGCAGGGCTGCCAGTGGGCAGGCCATACTGCTTGCTGGGGCAAGGTTCCAGGGAAGAGAGGGCTGGACTCTGGACAAAGGCCCCAGCAGGGTGAGCGAGGGTCCCACACACCTCCACATCTGCGGACTTCAGGAGCAGGTCCCGCAGGGGGCTGTAGTAGTCGGAAGAAAACACGTGGTCTTCGGTGTAAACCACATTCAGCCGCAGGGAGCCTAGGTCATCGGGCTTTGGGCTCTTGCCATTGTCTCGGGGCTGAAGGAAGTACCTGAAGAGGACAAGGCCACAGTGAGGCCGCCATAGCTCTCTCCAGGGTTCTCTCTTATGGGCTGGAGAGGTGCATGTCCAGAGTTCCCTATAGGCCACATGATGGTGTGGCCATCCAAGGCAGGCCCACAGCCAGATGGTGGATGAGCAGAGGCGAGAGGCGTGGAGGAGCCTGCTAGGAGGAAGGAAGGCAGTGACCAGTAGGGCCCCTCTGCAGCATCTGCCTGTGAGGATGGACGCTGGACAATAAGAACACAGGAACTTCAGTGACAGAGTACCATGTGGCCTTTCTAGTACAGGAGAGCTGCCTTGCACTGGGACAGGAGTCACTCTGCAATCCTCAGCTGAATGCTCCCTCTGCTCTTCCCTCTCTGCCCCACTTCATGGGCTGGAGATCAGACGCCCTATCTGAAGCACAAGGCCACTGTGGTCTTTGGTGGGTTTTGCTGGCTGCCTCTGCTGATGGACTGGGCCTGCCCAGCAGGAATGGGAGGCCCAGGTCCAGGTGGCACTCTGTCCTTAGCTACCTTCCATCCTAGAATGAGAAAGCAGCTTCCTAGGTAGATTTGGCCTTAGCACACACAGTGCAACAACATGGCAGGTGTCAACCAGACACCTGCTGGCATGTGCCTGGATCTTGAGGAAGTGTGTGGACAAAACACAACAAGCCAGAGGTGTACTCCTCACGCCCAAATGCAGCACCTCTGGTGATCATCAGAGATAAAGGCACCAGGCAGCAGAGAGACGAGTAGAGGCAGCTCAGAGGGAGAGGGAGGCTGAGACTGCAGAGGGACTGATGGCCACTCCACTGGGCTGCCTCAGGCACATGTCCTGCAACAAGGGCCCACAGCTGTCCTAGTGCTAAGACTACTCTGTCCTCTGCCTTAGGCTTAGTGTTACTTCCTGCTTCAGTGAGCCCAATTGTCCCCTCTCACCTCTCCCTCCCTGCTGAAAAGGCAGAAACTTATCTCCATGTGCAAGTGAATGGCAGCAGGTGCACTGGGCTGAGGGTGTCATGGTGTCCTTCTTCTCACCCTTCCACCCTTCCTGGCTGTGCCACCCCCAGCCCCATGGCACCTACCAGGCCTCATAGCAGCTGGACTGCCGCAGCACCTTCAGCGGGATCCTCAACTCCCCTAGGAACTCATCGCCAAACTTCAGGTTGCTGGCATTCCAGAGGTCTACTCTGAAAATGAGCAGCACTCAGATCCACAGGCCCCTTGGAGCCCAGCTGCCCACTTGACATCTGCTGTGGTGATCTCCACAATGCCCACAGCTGCATCGGGGCTATGCAGATGGACAGGCAGGGGAGCAGGCCAGGACACAGTCCTCCTGGTTGGCAGCATAGGCGACTACGGGACCCCTCTGCATGCAACAGAGCCAGACTGCTGCCACCACTCTGGCATCTGCCTTCACCCCAAGGGGCCTGTGGCCTCAGACGGATGAGTATCCAGGATGCCCAGCACCTCACAGTGAGCCTGGGCTCTGCCTCAGCACCAGCCAGGCACTTTCATCTGCTTGGCACAGCAGATGAGGGTAGCACCTCCTGGGCCGAGTGGCTGGTGGAGGATGGTGGCCAGCCTGGCAAGGACAGGGCACCCACCCTCATCTAAAAGAGCCATGGTGCTGGCAGCCCCTCTCTGACCTGAGATCTCTGCCTCTGCAGACCAAGTAGGACCTGTGGGAGCCATGAGCAGGGACCTGGGCAGGGTCTCCAGTGGGGTTGTCTTTGCAAGGCATCCACACCAGTACCCTGAGCTTCCAGGAACAGCAGGTGACACCCTGACCCTCATTCCCTGCAGAGTGCTCAGTTCCCTGGGACTTGGGGCCACAGGATTGTGTGGCAGGTGGCTGGGTGGATGGAGGGGTCACAGGGTGTAGGTCTACAGAATGAGTCTCATGCAGGTCCCACCAGACATGACACTGGGGGTGCCACTATGGAAGGGAACCTTGCTCTCACCAGGCTTCCAACAAAGAACAGATAAAACCATGCAGAGGAAACAGGGGCACTGACTTCTTACCTAATTTCAAGTTTATCTACATCTTCCTCTTCGAAGTCAAAGTGGGACTTTTTGCTGTAGCTGCAGGGCCTGTTCACCTGGGGGCAGATGGACGGAAAAGATGCGTGTGCAGCCCCACAGGACAGAGTCAGGGAGGAAGGCCTGTGCTCACCTGCCCGCAGGAATGGCCACAGCAGAAAGGGCAGTGTGCTGACCCCGGAGCTTCTCTGGGCTGCTCAGGACTAGGGGAAGCCACTGGGAGGGGCATGAAGGGAGCTGCTTGGGGCCTGGGAGCCCTGAGCTCTGGCACTCACCTCCGAGGGGCTTCCGCCTCATCCCAAAGCAAAGAGCTGGGGAGGCGGGCAGCTCCCGGACCTTCGTCATGTCCACTTCCACCCACAGGAAGGTCCAAGAGCCCTGGACACCAGCTCCCCATCCCATGGCTTCTAACCCTCAAGAGCTCCTCTGGGAGTTCATACCCAGGGAGGCGTCAGAAAACTGAAGGATCAAACCATTGTCCCTCCTAATATTATAGGATTGTGAGCTCCTTAAAACATAAAATAGCCAGTGCGTTCTGGGGTTTACAGGCAGCACCACTCCCAGGCCCACCCGTCCCCTCTTCAGGGTCAGAAGATTTCAGCTCCAAGTGGTATTCTGGAGCTGGACAAAGGCATGCTGCTTACACTGTTTAAACTCTGAGCTGCATTAGTGGTGGCCACCAGCTCCACAGGCTCCTGCTAGCCCTGGCCTGCAGGTCCCTGTCCCCCAACTGCCTGTCCTCTGATACTGGCCCCTCTCCACCCACGGCTGGCCAGCGTCAGGCCCAGACTTGCCCGCCTCATCCTCATTGCGTCTCTCCTGGTAGCCTGCTCCTCTCAGCCTGCAGGTGTCCCTGAAATGACACCTCCCCCAAGAGCCCCACTCCTGTCATACCAGGTCCCCGGCAGGATCACACACTGCTGCCATGGCTCACACTGATCATATCCTTCCCACGGGCCTGGCTCAGCATGATGATGCCTAGCTGCCTGCTCTCTCCTGCATCCTGCAAGGGGTGAAGGTGGCCCCTCCAGGTCTCCACGTGACTTTACTTACTTGGACACTCAAGGTGGCCTGGGAGTGACTTCCCTTTGCCCTCTGGTTCCCCAATGCCTGGGACTTACCTTCCCTGGAGCAGGACACCCAAGAAGGGTCCAGGGGAAACCTGGACAGTTTAGCAGTGTCCTAGACTGCAGCTCGGGAGGAGCAGGGCCTCTGGGCTCAACAGCAGCTCTGGGCCAGGAGCCTCCCCACCACTGCAGACCATGGTTCCCAGACATCTCTGGGGGTTGTTAAGTTACCCAGAGGGGGAGACCAATGCCTTCCAGGACAGTGGTGGCTCTTGTCCCAGAGACTGTGTCCACCAACCTGCTATAGCCACTGCACCCCATGAAAGCATGGGCTGAGCTGGAACTAAGGCTTTGTCTCCTCCCTGCCAGGCCCTGGTGCACATGAAGCAGGAAGCACTCAAGGAGCCCAGGGCAGGAAGGACAGCCCTGGGCGCCCCTCAGCCAGACCTACACCAACTCTGCCCCTTGAAGCAACAGCCCTGGAGCTGCATGTCCTAGAGGCAGCCAGGGAGTGTTTGGGTTGAGCCACTTCCCCTTTGCTGCAAACTTTCATGTTTCCAGTGGCTAGACCCTCACTCTGCCCAGGGAAGCTAGGGCGGAGCAGCCAGAAAAATGAAAACCCACAGCCAGTGAGTCCAGCACCTGCAAATCTGGGCTGCAAGAACTGCCACCCTCTGCAGGAATCCAGGCAGCTCAGGAGAAGCAGTGCCTTCTCTCCTGGGAGGGGTGTCCCAGGGAGGAAGCAGAGAGCTCAGCCCTTCCTGCTCAGTCTTCAGCGCGAGCACCAACCTCAAAATAAAACACCTCGTCAAACTGGGGGTTGTTGGTCTTCTTCTTCACTTTCGTCTTTTTGGCTTCTGATCTGCAGTCAAAAGAGGAAGGGTTAAGCTTAGAAATAGCACTGTTGATTCTGAACCCGCCTTGAAATTGAGCAGTAAATATTACAGCCTTTATTTATCTCATAAACATTTCTGTTTTCCTCTACCTCCAGATGGTATGCAAATCAGGAATCTTTACAGAGCCAGAAATATCCAATATGGAGATCACAAAGGCCTTATTCTTCACAAAGCAATTTCACAGCAGTCAAGAAAACCAAAAGAAGTCAAAATGACATATTCCCTTCTCATTTGGACATTGTCTTCCCATTTTCCAACATCTATTATGCATTTTGATCCTTTACACTTCAGTTTCTTACACCAGAAAAACAATGAGGTATTTGAACATGTGCGTCATATTTATTTCACTTAAGAGTGTGGTCTTAAGGTGTATCTGTTTAGTTAGAAATGTCTCAAGCTTATTCTTCTTTATGGCAGAGTAGCACTCCATTGTATAAAACAATCATCTTTATCCATTGATCCGTTGATGGGTATTTGTGCTGTTTCCAAGATTTAGCAATTATAAATTGTGCTACTATAAAATGGGTGTGAGGAGGGGGAGCAGGAAAGGAAAGAAGGGACAAGGAAAGAAGAGAATAGAAAGAAAACAACAGAAACAAAGCTTTTGTAAATAAGGAGGGGAACAGGGGTTGAAGGGAGGGAAGGGAAATGGGGAAAAAACCAAGATATAGCACATACAAATTCCCTATGATGAATGTTATCATTATGTATATCTAAAATGTGCAAATACAAATTTTTAAAATGACATTCCACTACATTCTCCTGCAGGGGGCGCCAGCCATCTGCTACCTGGGGCTCCCCTCGCCCAGGACCAGAGCAGTACCCAGGGCGGTGGGACTGCAACAACTTGCCTGAAGGGTCCAGCCAGTGTCACCGTGGCGTAGGGGTCGCACTGCCCGTTCACTATGGGGAGACCTTGGCATTCGAGGATGCTGAGGAAACAGAGGATGGGGTCAGAGGCCAGGCAGACCCAAGCCACTCCTTGCCAGTCTGCTGACCAGGAACGAAGTGATCACCAGGGTTCCTGGGGTGGGAGGGGCTGGCAGGGGTCTGTGCTGTGAACCAACTATCGAGGAGTGGTTGATACAAGGACATAGACCTTGCAGGACTTGAGAGGACAATGGCTGCATCTTGATATCTAAATACACACACACACACACACACACACACACACACACAGTCACACTTGCATGTTGCTGCAAAGAACTGTGGAATGACAGACTCCTTCCCAGGGGAACCTGGGGCTGCAGGCTGGTGGCCTTGCCCTCCAAAGCTGTCTATAAGGTGCCAACCAATCACAGCTGACAAGGGCTGCAGGATTCCCCACAGATAGTGTCCAGAGCCTTCCAGACTTGCACTCAATGTGTCCTTGGGGAAGAAGGCCGTGCGTGATGATGGTGACGCTGTCCAGGGAGGTGGATGATGCAGGCAGGGCTCCCTGCCCATAATGGCGGAGGACTCTCAGCCATGAGGGCCTCGAGAGAAGCCACAGTCTATCCGACAAGCTCCAGGCCACCTCCCAGGACTGCTGTCTGACTCCCTGAGCTGGGCTGGGCCCTGAACGCCTGTGATGTTTTAGGGCTTCTTCCCCTACACGTGTCTCCCCATCCTGGCTGGAAGCCTTCTCCCCAGATGCCAGGGTCTACAGCGCGGGGTGAAGAGAAGACCCAGGTGGGCACAGGGAAAGCCCTTCAAGTGTGGTCGGCAGCAGAACAGCCCATGCTTCTGCTGCTTTCCTGCTCCGTCCAAGGAAACAACTTCGCAGGACTGTGCTTCTCAGGCAACAGGTACACAGGCGCCCTGAATTCAGATGCTCCAAGCTGGTGTCCACAGGGCAGTAGCTTTCATTCCTGTTTTTCAGATGGAGAAACTGAGGCAGGAAAGCAAGTCCCTTTGGCTTCTGGCCCAACTTCACTGCTTTTTCCTCTCTTTTGTGCTAAGCAAAGGACTGGGGCTGGCAAAAGGCTCAGGTGTCCTGGGAGCCATGGTTGCCATCTGTCTGGGCCACTGTCAGCCCAGGCTTCAAAGAGCCTCCTGACTCAGCCACCCCAGCGCAGGGAGCAGTCTGGACTTGGAGGGGAACTCTCCACTGGGCAAGGCAGGTCCCCCAGTACAAGCAGCTGCTTCAGGGCAGAGCCAGGTGGGGAAACCCAGGGCCACGGGAGGTGACTCATGATCTCAGTATGAGTTCCCAGTGGGCTCACTGCTCAGAGCCCCAGAGGCTGAGGATCAGAGGGACACAGGTATGGCCTGGCCCTTGACCTCAGCTCACAGCACAGCCCCACCTTTCAGCCTCCTGAGAATATGACAGTGGACATCATGAAAAACGTCCCTGCCCAGTCCCCACAGACTGTGTGTATCTTATTGTGTCTCGTGACGTGTTGTGTGCTAATTCAGCACAGCCTCCACATTCCTTTGACAATATGTTCCTCACCCACGGCTAGATGCATTGTGGTGTTCTCTCTCCTGGCTTTGAAATCTCACCTGGCTTTGAAATAACACCATGCCTGTGCCCAAGAAAGCCACCTCCATCCACACCCCTAGTTTGGGGTCTGGGCCCCACAAGTCCAGTCTTGGAGTTTTGGAACATGGCTATAAATACATTTATCTCACAGCACCTGGAGTGCAGCAAGGAACTCAGCATAGTCAAGAACTCCTATGTGCCCACCGTGCCCTCCTGTCTTTTCCCTGAGCTCACTCCACAGCCATAGCAGTCCCATGAGCACCCAGCTCTAGGCTTCATGGTCTCACCACAGGGCCCTGGGCCACCGGGGACCACTGCGGGGATAGCAGGGCGTAGAAGACCCTGCTCACCCAATGCCTGTCCCAGGGGAGTAGAGCGTGAAACCCCAGCAATGAACTTTGCTCCATGTGCATCCTACTTGGGGGAGTTGCCGCTCACTGCAGCACCTGTCTAACCTGCTCCGAGGACACTTCTTGGAGGGAGAAGAGGGCAGCAGGATGGCCCCCCTGGGCTTGAAATGTGACCCCAGTAGCTCCTGGGTGGGATACAACCCACAAAGGCAAGTGTAGGTGTCACAGGTGACCCGGGAGGTGACAGGGTAGCAAGGTCACAAGGTGGCACCAGACACCCTGACAGCTTTATGAGCAAGGAGGAGACCTGAGCTACCGCCACTCTCCCACAAGGGGATGCCTCGGCCTCGGTGGGACAAGACCCTTGAGCCAAACCAGTGGTTCTCTGCACAGCCCTGGCTTGGGCATTCTGTCACAGCAAAAACAGACTGCAATGGCCCCATCACCAGGACTCTCGTCTCCACATTTGGGGCAAAGGAAGATGTCCTAGCCACCTTCTACCTGGTCCGTGTCCCCTGTGATCCCCACCCTGGGCCCACTGTGCAGAGAGGAGACCAGTGAGACCCAGGTCAGATCGTGCAGAGGCATCATCCTGCTCCCCTAGGAATCAGAGGAGGAAGCCAGGCCCTTTGGAACCTCGACCTGCTGCCCAACGTGCACGTCTTACCGTGTGGCAAGCTTGTGGCAGACAGTGCCCGTGTCGGTGATGACCTCGCTCAGCCTCAGTTCTAGGTGCACCTTGCCCTGCAAAGGACAGGAGAGGGTCAGGGGGCTCAGCCGCAAGTGGGGGACATAGTCCACAAGAGGGCGGAGCTGGGATGGAAGGGCACGTCCACCAGAAGGGCTGCACAGTGCCTCCGGCAGCTGCACTTCCAGCCTGCCATGCTCCGCACTCAGGGCTCAGGTGCTCAGGGGAGATCAGTGATGGCTGTGCAATTTCAGCGTGAGGGGTCCCAAAGGGTCAGACCCCAGCAGAGCAGCCCTGGACATGCTGCAAGTCCACTATTGATGTGTCATGGTTGGGCCCAGCCCAGGGCACGCACAGGCAGAGGGGTGGCCCCAGGGCCCCTCCGGGTCCACCTCTGCCTTCTTCTCGAAGGCTAGTGACCCCGAGTCCAGTTCCCATGCAGAAGCTAACACCTCGGTGCTTCCAGGAGCAGGATTCTGCTTTGGGCAGGATCAACTGGGGACCCAAAGTACAGTGCAAATGTTAAAGCTGAGGAATCTGTAACCAGAAAGACAGGCCAAACTGGACACCTGCCAAGACCCTTGAACCTCTGGCGGGGGTCCTGTAAATGCTGCCCAGCTTTGAGTTCAGGATGCCATATGAAGACAGCCTTAATCAAACTGGTGGCAGCATGGGGACACACCTGTGCCCCAAGTAGACCCATGTTGGGACTTATCCAACTGCACCTGCCTAGTACCTGCTGGGGGAAGACGGGAGCCAGCCATGGATGTGGTAGGCAGAGGCAGCAGGGATTGTGCCACCCACTTCCGAGCTCAGGCAGGACTGGGCCTGTCCTCCTGGGTCTTACCCACCTGCGCAAGGACAGGAGTAATGGATAGCAGGGTTCCCAGTGCTGGGACATGAGCATCAGGTAAGGGCACCTTGTGACAGGAGACACTGCTGCCCCGACTGTGAGTGGTGGCCACGTGTGGGTATAATGGGGCTGGGAACATACTGGGCCATGCAGGCTGCTGGGCCCTGCTTGGTGGCAACATGGCCATCAACATGGCCATTGAAGCCCACTTGGCTCTCACAGACCCCACTGGAGCCTCCAGCCACCACATGGCAAGCACCCTGGTGCCCACTGACATCTCCCCATGTCCGAAGGCATGAACTGCGGGCACAGAATGATCGTATGTCACTGCCACGGACCAAGGGAAAGGCCGCCCTGCTGTTCTGCTCTGGACTCCTAGGCTGGGCCCCTGTGCTGGGCCCTGCCTCTTGACCCTGCGAAGCCTGAAGAACCAGGGATGGATGGGGTTGGGAAGATGGGCACAGCCCCTTCCAGCTCTGCGGCCTGAATTGGTGATGGCCATGAGAACACGTCTGTGGCTCCCTTTCTTTACCTGAGCCCAGGAGCTCAGAGACTGGGATCATGGCCGTGACGCCTGCTGCCCTAGGATGTGGCACTGCTTCCTCAGGCCAAGAGCCCTTCAGGACCCAAAGCAGGCCAATGCACTGGACCAAGTGAGCAGTTGGCTATCAGAGGATGGCACCGACCATGGGTGCCAACCCCTGCAAGGAAATTCTGAAGTCTGCAAAGGTGTCAGGAAGATGGGCAGAGAGCTAGGTCATGCCCAGGGGCCTTTGGAAAGTGGGAGACTATGTCTGGGGGGATGAAAGGCCCCACTGCCAATAGTATGGTGGCAGCCTTTCCATTTCCTATTTCTCCCAAGCAGCTGTTGGGCTCCTGTGCCTTTCACCTTGCAGCACACGCTGTGGGACAGAGACATAGGTACCAAACAGTCACACTGCACTGCCCTGACAGTGGACCGTGGACCAGAAGCCCCCTGTCCTACCAGCACCAACGGCAGCCTCCTTCCTGCACAAAGTGGCGATTGGGGCAGTGCCTCTCACAGCAGTTGACCTGACCTTGGCACAAACAACCCAGACCAGAAACAAGGCCATCATTAGGTCACACTCTTGATTTCAGGTGTGCAGAAAATGCTGCATCCTGGTGCACACCTGGGCATGTGGCTTCATGGCAGGGACAGGCACTGCCCTCTCAGGGCAGACTCCAGTCCCAAAGCTGGACTCCAGTCTCCACCAGGGTTTGGGTGAGCCAGGAGCTGCTGGGACATTATGCATCCAGCCTGCCTGCCCATGTTCCCCACTGCCTTCGAGGACAGCTCGTCCAGTGCATCCCAGAGTCCCAGCTTTTATTTTAGTTGTGAGGGAAGCAGTGGGGCCTGCAGAAGAAAGGGCTGATGGAAGCTTTGCCTTCCTGGCTTATCAAGGGACTAAAGTCACCAAGAAGTTAAGGAGGGCTGGGCCACAGCTTAGCAATGAGCTCGCCAGCAAGGCTCTAGGCTCCACCCCAGCACCAGAAAAAGAAAGTTGAAGCAACAGGGAAGTAAACAACATCAAGAAACCAGCAGGGCAGACTGCTGCCCCCAGATCACCTTATCCCACAGACAGCATCCATTACTTGAGCTTACAGGGTTGTGCTCTTCCTGCGAGACAGGTATGGAAGAAGCCCCAGGGTCATCTCTCAGACCATACACGGACTGAGCTAGAGTTCAGAACAGAAGGGCAGCTGAGAGCCCTCAAACACTTGGAGATTAAGCAACGTATTTATAAATATCACATGAGTCAAAGGAGTCTCCAGAGACATGGTTATGGCTGTCTAGATGTCCCCCCAAAGCCTCATGAAGTCATAGGTGGGGATTTTTTAGAAGTGGCTGGATCTAGAGTGATTGATTTATGGTGCAATGAAAGGATTAAGGGTGCTAGGATTAAGGGTGGATGATTACTAAATTAGTCCACCGATTGGTTTGGCACTGTCCTAATCCCAGTAGTGTGGATATAATATGAGGGACAGGGAGAGGCTTGTCTTGCACCTTGCTTGCTTTGCTATCCTGTACCCACCATGGACTGTTTCTCCTCTTAAAGCCCCTTTGCCAGGTCACCCTGCCTTGGAGCCAGCCAATTATGGACTGACACCTCTATAAACTGTGAGCTAAATAAACCTTTCCTCCCTTGCTTTGCAGTGTTGGGTATTTTGTCTCAGCAACAAGAAAAATAACTAAGATAGACACTTACACATAGTGTAAGTGAAACAAAGAAAAATGAAATTATAATCTAGAATTTGTGGGTTGCAATAAAAGCACAGCTAATAGGGAAATTCAGAACACGGCCACATATACAGAAAGGAAGAAAAATACAGAATAAATGACCTCCACTAGACATTGGAGATAAAATTCACAGAAAGCAAAAGAAATAAAACTTCGATCAGAAATCAATGAAACTGAAAACAGGAAATGAGAGAACCATCAACCAAAATCAGATCAACAGAGATAAACCTCAAGCCTGGGTAACCAGGAACAAAAGAGAAGTGGCTTCCTAAGACCAGGGACGAGAGAACACTGCTAGCCCAAGGCCTGTGCACAGTTGTCATCGGGAAGTGAGGGCCTTGGTGACCACTATGCAATAGCACTAGGCCATAAGGGAGCTGGGCAGCCCTACAGTTTTTCTGTAAATTTAAAACTGCTCAGAAACCAGAGTTTGTTAGTTTACAAAAAGCCCCCAGAGGTCCTTGTCCACTTTTCTCAGGAAGGTCCTCCCCATACAAGGGCCACTCTGAGAAGTAGGAACAATCCCAGCTCAGCCCCTGGCTGTGTTGGGTCCATATGGGAGGCCTATGACAATAAATGCCACCCTCTGACTTGTCCCTTCCCTGAGTAGCTACTAGCTCTTGATTGGACTTGAGAAGTGAGAAGATGGAGCAAAGGGCAAGATGAAGACCAAGAAGGCAGAAGCTGGCCTCTCCTTGGTGTCCTGTGTCCTCTCAAGCTCTCAGAGCCACCTGGAGGCCAAGTCCTGGACTGAGAACACCTGCCCGTGTCCTTCTGGGTTGTCTGATGCACAAAAGGCAAAATCCTCCAAATTTCTGCCCCTTCACTGGCTCTGGAGCCAATCATCTCTAGGGTGGTGGCTGCTGATGCTGTGTCCCAGGCCAGAAGGAGTGAAGAGTGCTCTGGGAACCTTCAGAAAAGATACCAGTTCCAGAAAGAAGCAGGCCATCTAAGTTGCCTTTCCCTGTTCCTGTGATGCTAACATAGTGCCATGGTGTTTTGGGGCATGGGTCTCTTAAGAGCAGACAGAAGCAGGAAGCCACAGCCACCCACTGCCCAGTGCGAAACTGTGAAGGTGACATTTCAAAGTGAAAGAAAGAGCAGATGCGATTGCAATTAAAGGTCAGACTGAGTGAGGTGATAAACATGCCTCTTTGTCCAGCCACTTCATAAGCAAGAAACTTCCAGAACAAAACGCCAGAGAAGCACTAAGCTCAGTGCAGTGCCCATCAGGGTCCTGAGCTGCAAGCCACATCCTCCTGGGCCCTCCCCAGAGTCCTCTGCCTCTCACCACCCAGGCTCCCAGGAGCACAGCAGGCTAGGTCTCAGTCTTCATCGCAGACTCAGTGCGGAGGGCCAGAGCTGCCTTCTACACTGTTAGGAAACATCTCGCCAGCCACAAGGCTCCCATGTGTGTTGTGTTTACAGCTCCGTGGCGACACAGTGGTTCCAAATCACGTCTGCAGTGATGACAAGTTGACACACAGGTTGAAGCTGCCCATGGTGTCCAACAGCCAGACAGTGGACATGACTCACGGTGAGCAAATATGAAAACTGCTCGGTCCACACATGGAACATTATTGGTCCAGGAGGGAAGGGAATCCCAACCTAGGCCAGAGCCTGGTGAGTGGACGGACACCAGTTCTCATGGCAAGCACTGCTGCAGGTCACTCCTGCAGACTCCAGAGCACCCATGTCCACTGGGAGAGCAGTGGGTGCTGGGCGCCAACCTCCAGTGTGGGAAGGCGGCCGGGTATGGAGAGGGATGGTGATAACAGCTGCACAGCTGTGCGAATGTTCTCATGCTGTACAACCAGACTTGGAAGGGGTTAAACAGGGGATTTGACAATATATTTCACCATAGTAAAGGAATTGGAAAAACTTGCACAGAACATACACACATGCAAAGTGGTGCAATCAGAACAAAGTCTATGGATAGTGAGCTCACAGTCACTGAGACGGAGGCCTGGGGACAGGCCCTCAGCATCTCATCTTCTAAAAACACACAAACTTGCTCATCACAGTTCCCTGTCTAATGTCCCACAGGGCTGTGACCATTTCAAAATTAAACAGGAAAACCCACACATGGCAATACAGCCAAGCAAATCTGGGAAACACCACCTAGCCATACTCCCAAGTAACATCTGAGGCTGTGCACAGAATGGGTCTCATCTTGACGCCTGGGCTGCAGGTGTGGCTGAGGCTGAGAAGAGGGTACTGCACTCTGAAGCCCTGCTTAGCTGAACTCTATGGTCCTCAGCCTTGAGCTGGGCACAGGCAGGGTGGCCACCGGCACTAGCATCATCGTAAGCTTTGCACTCCCACCTGGGTGCAGCTGGTCCTCCATTCGTTACAGCACCCTGGAAGCCACGGCATGTGGGCCATGGGCCCATGTTTTCTTGGGAGACAGAGTTCACAGTTCAACCACGAAATGATCCCACGTGTCTGGTGATGGGCAGGCACCCAGGCTGGATCAGCTCAGTCCTTGGTTCTGCCTGGGCTTCTCTGTGTCCTGGATGGGCTCAGCCAACTCCAAGGACAGAACCCAGGGCCAGGGGGTCTGAGCAGGCTAGGATGTCAGCAGTGATCTTGAGCCCCACCTTTCACCTGGGGAAGCTGGCTAAGCAGGAGCATACTAAGGATGGAGGCAGGCAGGCCTCCGCAGGGATGTGGAGCACGGAACTGCTATCACTGATGTCTCGGACAAGTCCTCACAGCAACGCATTTTGGGGATCTGTGTGTGATACCATCTACCAAGTATAGAGTTACATCCAATGCACTGTTGAGCTGCACACACATCGGCCCTTCCACTTCACCAAGGAGGAGATGGTGCACAGAGTACAGCCCAGCCACAGCAGCCTGGATGCCAGACCTGAGCTGGGGCAGCTGGGGATGGCTCCCGCCACACACTGTGTTGACAGCGAGGCACCTGCGATGTGAATGCCAGTGTGTGTAGCGTTGGCTGCTCCACTGGGCGTGGCCTCTGCAGCTGCTTCCTGTCCCGGGTCAGAGCTCAGGGTGGCCCACAGGGGTGGGAATGGTGTGTGCCCTGTGGGGGCCCCAATACACTCCCTTGCAGGCAGCCCAAGGGCACCCAGTGGACATGTGTGCTCCTGAAGCAGCTTCCCCAGGGGCTGGTACCCAGTCCCACAATGCCCTGCAGTGTCTTGGGCGCTAGAGCACTCAATCCAGGGAGCCCAAGGAGGATGGGGACCTAGGGACAGGATTCCGGAGCTGGGGCCCTGCTCCAGCACTCCACACAGCTACACATCACCAGGTCTACTCTTTGCCTTCTCCAAGTTTCTGCCCACCCCATTTTATGTGTAATTAAAGTTGTGTCTTCTGCCTAAAAAGTGCAGTGATAACAAAGGAAGAAAAAATTAAGAAGCATTCATCTAGAATCTCAGCACAACTCCCTGAGTGCACATTTGGCAGCCATTCCGCTTGCAAGGCCCAGAGCCTGGGCTCTGTCCTCACCCTGGGCCTGGTCCACCCAGCCTTACCTGTACTTCTGAGTCGGCGTCCACATGCTGCAGCTGGAACCAAGTGTCCCTGTTGTGGTACTTCTGCAGATCCTCCTTCCGTATGGCCACCTTCCCTGAAAACACACAGAACAGACTCAGAGGACAATGAACACATGGGGACATCACCCTTCCAGCTGCCAGACCCACAGGGTCACAAGGCAAGGCCACAGCCCTTCCCCGCAAGTCAGGTGCCTCTGGCCCTCGCTCTGTGATCTCTGAGAACATGCTGACACGGAGGCACCGCCTGCCTGTACAGTGAGCAACTTCCTGCCCTTTGTGTCACCTGAGGAAGCTGCATCAGGCACTGAAGATGGGCTGAGCCTCATCTTCAGACAGAGAGGGCCTGCCAGGACCAGGGAAGGGATGGTGGTCATGGAACCTGCCTGCCTCTGTGTCCTCCTCTCCAGATAGAGCTGGAAGCAGAACCCACTTTGCAGGTGTGTGAGGTTGTCAGTGGGAGTGTGTTGGTTGAACGAAGCTATGTTGTGGAACACGTGTGTATCTAGACACATGCATGTACACACACACAGCATGTGTGATGGCTTCTGTTGGCTTCGGGTCATTCATAGCAACAGTGGTTATAAAGTGCAGCTTGGGTGATCTGACTTCCTACCACAAATGTGGGTCTCACTGTCGGACAGCTCACGGCCAGGGGATCCTGTTAGGACAGCCTGTCACAGCTGGGTGACACCTGGCAGGACAGGACAGCCCATCACAGCCAGAGGTTATCCCTCCATGCAGTAGTCAGGAGCACACAACTTGTCCACATCCTGACACTAGTCCATGCCTTTGATCTCTCCACTGCTGGTCCCACATCCTAGCCACTCTGCAGCCTGCTGAGAAGGTGCTCCCCCTCCTGAGAGCTGCTGTGGGCTCTTGTAAAACTCCAACCTTTGCCTGAAGTGGGTTATGATTTTTGATTTTCGAGTCTCACGGGAATAAGGCCAAAGTTTCTCAAGACTCAGCTGGGAGGCCTAACTCTGTGAAAAATGATAATGGCATCTGCAGGCTCCTCTTGAAGTCCAGCTGGAAGATCGGTCACTTCTGCAGTCTAAGATTCCAAGAACAGTCTTGCTTCTCATTCTCAAGGGCCATGCTGGCCCCAGGTGCCATCATGTGGAGCTCTCATCCATACTGTCTCTTTCTAGAAATACTCCATTTAATTTTTAGATCAGCAATAGGGAAACACAGAACAAAATTCGAAATATTCAAAAAGATTAAAAACTGCCAAAAGCAGTCTTGTGGCCTCATTCCTGGCTTGGGGTCGCCCGTCACCTGCGTCCAGCCTGTCTGAAGGTCTCACAGTGGGCTGCTTTGGGGGAGTGGACCTGTGCTCCCACCCCCTGCGCTCACCCCTCTCCACAAGGCTGCCTCATGCCTCCCTGACACATTGAGGTGCGCAGCCAGGCTCTTGTCAGGTGTCAGCTCACAAACTGAGCCACACCAACCTTTGCGACAGAATCCAAACCAGACCAGCACTGCTACCCATGCTGTTAGATGTGGGGACGGTGACTGGAGGACAAACAGCCCAAGACCACAGCTCTAGTATAGGACCTGGCCTGGGCCCCACAGCCCTGGACCATGGGCCATGTTCAGAATGAGTCCACGAGGCATCTCCTCTCGCTTTTCAGCTTCTCCATCAGACAGTATGAAATACAGGGGCACCCAGGCCTGGAGAACTAGCGTGCTTATTACCTGAGGCATTGTGAACCCACATGCTGGTGAGCAGGCCAGAGCTTTATTTTTAAAGACTCCACATTTTAGGACACACCTGACCTATTCCTGTGGAGTTTTGGCAGCCTCATATCTTCACGTCAGCCTTCCCTCACTTTCTTAGCAGCTTCTCCTACAGCTCTTCACTTCCTGCTTCCAGAATGCCACCAAACACACACAGCCCATGGTGTGACACCACTCTCACCCGGCTCATCCTCTGCACACCTCAATGGACGCAGATGCACGTGGCATGGCCCAGGCGGACATCAGTCCTCACAGTGGTGGTTGAGGGGTGACTCTCAGGGCACCTGTTGGTCACCCATGCCAGACACTGGTCCTGCAGTCCCCAGGGATGGAGTCTGTATCCGTGTCAGGACTCCCTTTCCCTAAGGACTCCTGCAAAATGCGGACCCCTTCCCTGGGCCCCCGGGCGTCCTGGAACCTGAGAGCTCCCCACATCCTCAGAGAGCACCTGGCTGTGGAGAGCTGGGATCTGGGGTGCAGCCACATCTGCACACTAGCGGAGACCACTGGACAACCCAGACTGGGGCAGCCACGCACACGAGGATGGGGCCAAGACTGGTCAGGCAGCACTGCATTCTGCCACGTCAAATCCGACGAGAGTCACCTGCAGCCCACGTGCTGGAATCCTAAGCTAAGATGGAGCATGTGGTTTGGTTGGGGACTGAGCAAACTGCAGTGAAAAAGGCCAGGCTCCAGGCCTCAGCAGGCCACCAAGGCCATGTGGCAAAGTCGCCATAGGAGATGCGAACTCTGGACACACACCAGCACCAGAAGTAGCAGCAGACTAACATCAACTGGCCACCCTAACAGGGCTTGCACACTCGACCCTGCCACCATAGGAAAGCACCTGCCCGGGCCTGGTGGACATTGGAAGCCAGGCCCACTTTTCCCTGGCATGGCGGCCACCGGCCAGATGGGCCTGCCTGGACTCATGGGGCTGAGGAACTTTCGGGCCTTGCCCCCTCTCTCCAAGTGATACTGCAGAGTGGCTCAGAGAACACCAGCCCAAAAAATTGGGGTTTTGTCCTTTGCTGATGGAAGCCACTGCTGGCTGGGGCACAGGACACCAGGATGAAAGGAGGATGGCCCTCTGCCCTTGAGCCACCCGACCCCACACAGGACAAAGACAGGTGCGCATGGTTTAGTGTACTGAGCATGGGGCTGGACAGTGGCCTCCTAACAGGGCACCAGGAAAGGAGATGGCACCTGGCAGATCACCTTGACCAGGAGCTCAGGTGTGTCCTGCAGGCCTACATGGTTTCCTTTTTTTTTTGCACCAGGGATCGAACTTGGGACCTTGTGCTTGCAAGACATCTGGAACCACTGAGCTAAATCCCCAGCCCCTCCTTTTTATCATTTGTTTGGTTTTTGAGACAAGGTCTCGCTATGTACTTCAGGCTGGCCCTGAACTCACCGTAACTCATGGCCATCCTCCTGCCTCAGCCTCTCGAGTGCTGGGATGACAGGCATGCACCACCACGCCCAGCAACGTTTTCATTTTCAAAATGTTTTGCTAGCAGTGAATAATCAGGGTCTTCAGTGGCTTTTTTGGAAATGGCTGCTCCTTGAACAGCACCTGAGTTCACAGCTGCCCAGAGCAGAGGTGTGGAACTGACCCCGGAGGACAGTCGTGCCGCCCCTGCTGCAGGGTGTACATGATGGGCACTGCTTACAGACCTCCGCACACACGAACCAGCTCCCCTGGTTCTCTGTGCTCCACACTACACCTTGTGCATAGTCAGGGGAGCATAATAAGACATTAAAAGCCTCTATGTCACATTGAGCCCACAGGCAACCAGTCATTAGGACCTGGGCTCCAGGTGAACTTAGGCAGTGGGGACAGTTTGACTGCAGCATCCTCACAGTGACCCTGAGGCCACTCGAGGAAGGCTCAAGCCAGGCACACTTATGAGATCAGGAGGCCGAAGGGCGGTGTGTACACTAGGCTATAAGGACAGATCGTTTTGATCAGGAGCAAACCATGAGAGGAAAGAGCCTTTGAAGGTAGTGCTATCCAGGATGTGGAGCACCTGGCACGCCACTTGGCCAGCTGGTGGTGGGTGCTGAACAGACATTTGTAGAATGAGTGCCTAAACCAACGAAGGACACAGCCTTACAAACCAACACAGATGGGTAGAGCCTCTCAATTCCATGTCGATTTTCCACTTTCTTTATAGGCTTAAGTGAGAGCCTCATACATGGGTCTATGTGTGCATGATTTACATACATATTTGTTTGTTCCTTCATACAGAGACCACATGCTGAGTACATTGTAAGGAATTAACAAAGTGAGCAAATTCCCTGTCCAGGTTACTTAGAGACAACAGAACACAGGCAAATAGGTGATCCTGATAAGGTGCCGACAGGGAAGGGACAGGAAGTAGGTGCCAGGTTGGTGTGAGCGTGAGGCAGGTGTAAGGGCAACTGTGGAGTGGGCATGGGGCGAGTATGAGGTCAGTATGCACAGTGAGTACGAGCAGCGGGTATGAGGTGGACATGTGAGACAACTGTAAGGTACAGTGGGCAAGCTGAAGTTGTGTGACGTGGGGAATAGCAAGTGTAAAGTCGAGTGAGACATGGTGTGAGGGCTGAGGTGAGGCACATTGGAGGGGTGAGTGTCAGGTGACTATGGGTGGGCATGAGGGGCCAAGGGAGATTGGTGTGATGAGGGTGAGTTTGGGCGTGAGGAGGGAGCACGAGGTCAAACGTGAGCTGAGGCTGGGGACGCGGAGCAAGTGGGTGTGGGCGTGAAAGGTTAGGCGAGGACCGTGCGAGGAGTGTGAATTTGGGTGTGACGAGCAGGTTGGGATCAGATGTGAGGTGGGTGTGAGGAGTGAATGTGAGTTTGGCTGTGAGGGATGAGTGTGAGATCAGATGCACGTGAGGAGTGAGCTGAGGGTAGGTATGATGGGAAGTGTGCGGGTGTGTGAGCAACGAGTGTGAGGTGGGTGTGAAGAGTGTGAGCTTGCCTGTGAGGAGCGGGGTGGAGCCAGCGTGGAGAGCTATGAGAAGCAAGTGTGAGCAGGTGTGGGTGTGAGGGGTGAGAGAAGTTAAGTGTGAGGAGAGTGAGGAGCACGGTGAGATCAGATGTGAGGGAGACTACGATGAGCCAGCGGGAGCTGCTCCGGATGTGAGGGGCCAGGTGAGGTTCAACGGGAGCACTGAGGGGAAATGAAGTGTGCGAGCGAGGGTGAAGTCACGCGGGTGTGAGGGACAAGCGCGAGGACTTCGCGTGAGGTGGGTGTGAGTAGTGAGTGTGGACTCGGCTGTGAGGGGTGAGATAGGATTGGATGTGGGGCCGGTGTGAACTGATGTGGGTGTGGGGTGATGCGAAGTCAGGTGTGAAAGCCGGGAGAGGCCGCCGTGCAGGCCTGGCCACCCCCCAGTTCTATCGCCCTTCATGCCGACCGGTCCACGGCTGACCTGTGGGCTGAGGAGAGCCCCTCCCTTGCCTCCCTCCTTCCTTGTGTTCAGCGTCACCTGTGGCAGGACCTCAGAAGCTGCAGAGGACCCGTAGCACTTCCGCCACAGCAGTCTGGCTGGGCCTCGGGGATGTCTTCTGCCCTCTCGGGGGTCTTTTTCAGGGCTGGACTCCAGCACTGCCCTGTCCGCAGCAATGGTCTCAAGCGGGCAACAGATAGGGCTGCCTGGGCTCCTCACATAACATCTGGCAGAGTGACAGGACTGCTGCCCCCTTGAAGCAGCAGGAAACTGAGGCTCTGAGACCAAGCGGACGTGGTACAGGCCTGTGTGGCCCCAACCCTCTCAGCAGCCCTCCCTTTCAGCACTGTTGGGGCGGCAGGAGGAGCTAGAGGGAGGGGCCATGGCATTCTCTCAGAGGTCCTCCCAGAGGCACTGGGAAGAGCCTCTGAAAGTCACCTGGAGACAGTCCAGGGGACACCATCCCTGGCTTTGCAGTGCTGGATGGACGACCCTGCCCAGCATGGTCTGGACTTTGAAGTGACATCTTGGTGTTACACGCTTCTGTATGTTGACGGGTGTCCACAAAACTCAGGAAAACAAGAGACCACAGATACCAGGCCAGGCCACTGGGAGTGAAACAGCTCCACGTAGAACCACCCAGAATGGTTCCCCATCAAATATGCCAGACTCTCCCTCCTAAGTCATAAGAGCACAGGTCTTCTCCCAGGATGTCCCACTTCTTCCAGGATGAGAGACTATTCAGAAGTAGGAACAATGAAGAAAAGACTCATTTAAGTACCTACCTATGATGGAATCCCTCCGGAAAACATCTCTATCAAAAATGTAAAACGACAGGTGACGAAAACTCCGAGGAATTTCACAGTAAAAGTCTTCTCCATAAAAGGGGCTGGACAAACAAACAAAATGCAACATCATTAGAACTGACATCACAGACTCTGCCTGCGAGGGTCATTGCCAAGGGGCCTCACCACACATTGTCTGGCACCCACCTGTGACCTGGGGCCACTTGCCTAGGTTTCCCTGGTGAGACAGGGAGCAGACTACAGAGACCTGGTAGAAGGCAGCGTTCCCTTCAAGGGCCCAGGATGGACTTCAGTGCTTGCCCTATCCCGAGCTCAGGGAATATCACCAGTTCAGCGTGGACCCTGGCCACTCACAAAATGATCTCCATAACATACACCCAAGTCCAGTACAGACCCCAGGATGGTGTGGGGCTCTCGTGACTGGTGTGGGTGGCTTGGCTGCACTCACATGGGTAGTGAGAGGAAACAGCCTTCCAGGTTCACCATGCTCCTGTCTTTGCAGAGATCCAGTGTGAAATCCCGCCTGAGCCCGTGAGGAGAGGACCCTGCTGCAGAGCTGACCCCTCTCCGCCCCATCTCAGCAGCCCAGCGTGAGTCACCCCACAGCTGCAGCAGCCCACAAACAGGCACCTAAAATAAACCAAGGCTCTGATTAAAGAAAGCCAGCGGGCTCTGCCACTACACAAACCTCCCTATCATTCTGGTCCCACCCAGGCTGGGGCCAGGAAATGCTGGTTCATAATGCCACAATGACATCCTGCACCGGAGGAGCTGTTCAGGAAACCTAGCGATTACTCCACGGCAGACACACCCACTCCATTTGCAATCAGATTTGAGTCTAACTCCACGCAAGTTTATGGCTAAGGTCCAAGGAGGAAACGTAAATTATTCAGGCAGGCACTAAGGCAGCGTGTCACATTCTGAGAAAGCAGGAGGACAGGGTGCCGGGAGGTGGAGCGGCCACATGCCAAAGAACACAGCCAGCCCACCACTGCCGCACACACCAAGTTCACTCGCAGGGATCACACACTGGAATGTGAGTTCACAGCAGCTCAGAGGAAGATGGCAACCCATCTGTGCCCTGGAGCTAGGGGAGGATTCTTAGATATAACAGCACAAAGGATGCCATCCAGAATATATAAAGAAGGCTAACAACTCAACAATACGATGATACATAATTCAATCACAAAAAGGGAAAAGGATTTGAACAGAAAAAATCACCAAAGAAGACAAATGGATGGCATATGAGAGATGTCGAATATCATTAGATGTCACGGGATGCAAATTAAACTAGGAGATACAGTGAGGCTTCCTCAGAGGATCTGGGGCATGATCCTGCTGCCACCCTAGGCTTCTCACAGGGGTTAACTTGGGGGCAGGTGGTTCACCGCACTCCTCAGACCCAACCTGCAGACGGACAACTCTCTCTTGGACTTAACTGGTTCCCTCCTTTGTGTAACTGGATTATAGACAGAGTGAAGTTTGCTTTAAAAACATTTCTTTGTAATGAAAACAAAATCCTCAAAGGGAGATCGAAAATGCTGAAACTGTTTGGGACATTTTGAGTCTAGAAAGGTAACATCATTTATCTTGCCATGAACACAGGATGGCTGTGGGCTGGCTCAGCAAGCACTAGGTTAGGAAACACTGCTGGGAAATCACTCTTCTTTAGCACGCTCTATGATGGCCAGCCTTTCTACCTGGAGCCAGCTTTGACCTGCTGGCTGTGGGCAGGCAGCAGGCCAAGGGGACCTGGGACAGCCGCAGCATTGCCATCCTCGTGTGAGTACCCAGCTGGCAATCCACTGTTCTCTCTGTGTCTAAGGCCCTGGAAACACAGTGAAACACCAGGCCTTACTGCCTAAAGAGGCCCCACCACCTCCCCAGAGCACCACACTGGGAATGGAGCCTTCACGACATGGTCCCTGGGGACACTTTGGAGCCAAACCAGGCAAGAGTCTGCAGACACAGACACAGCCTCAACACACTCGTAACCAAAGGGGAAGGGACCAGGGACCTTCATGAAGGACTCCTCAGAGCAGCAGGCACACAGTGCCACACTGTAAGCCAGGAACCCACCCACCATGAGTATACATCCTCTCTGGAGATAGGTCTGCCACAAAGCTGCCACACCACAGAGCCACCAAAAATCTGCTAAGGTGTCAGCTGGTTATGTGCACAGCAAGAGCTGCATGCTATTCCACTACAAACCCCAGAACATGGACCTGTACCAGCCTCATGTGCAGGATTGTTGGGTACAATGTGTGTATGGTGCATGTACGAGGCTCATGTGATCTGTGTGTGAGGTATGATGCATGTCTTGTGTGTATACAATGTGTCTGATACATATATGATGTGTGTCTGATGTCTGTGTGAGGCATGCCTGATACACACCTGATGTGTACATGATATATGTGCTATTTGTCTTCTCTGATGCATGACTGATGTGTGGGCAATGTCTTCTGAACATCTGCTATCTGTACAATGTGTTTCTGATGCACATCTTATACATGGATGAAGCATGGGTGATGCAGGGACCATGTGTGGTAAGGGGTGGTAGGATGGCGGCACCAGCTGACACAGCCACAGGTGCCACATGGATCAGAGGCCAGAGGACTGGATACAGCCTCTTGACCCAGGGGCCTCTCTGGAGCACCTGGAACAGACTGCAGGCTATAGGGAACTGAGTTGCCGATGGCCAGAGCTCCCCGTTTACCCTGCTGGACATGAACTACAGCATGCTGAGCGCCTCTCTGAGTCCTCACACCCCAGTAGTGACCAACTGTGTGGCTTTCCAGGACCTCGGGGCGTCCTGGGCCAGGCTCTGGTCACCTTGCCTTTGTTCAAGGCCACCTCTGCCAGGGATGGACACAATATCCCAGATCACTCTGTACCTGCAGGTTAAACGGACCCTCAATCCCATCATCTCTTAGGGTTGAAAGTACTGAGTGGCTTTCCATTTAGTGGTTTTATGAGGTCCGTGTTTCCCTGAACCTTCCTTTTCATGGTATTTCTATCTCCCCTTCTACTGGATGAGGTTCTACTCTATGTATTTTAGGCACCTCAGCCTCTGTCAAAGTGTGTCCTTCCCCATGTCCAGCCAGCAGCCTCTACTAAGACCTCCCTGGGGTCACTGCTGAGCAGAGTCCAGAGAGAGAAGGCCAAACAGCACCCAGCCCTCTGGTGGCAAGAACCTTGAGGGGCGCTGCATTCCTGTATGCTGCGTAGGCCGTGCCAGGCCCTGTATCTGGGGGTTCCAGCCTCCCCAAGGAATGTCCCGAATCAACTCCAGGAAGCTCACTCCTGCATTCACATGAGAGGCTGGGTGCCGGGCCCCTCTGTCAGCTGGCCTGGGTAGAATTCCTTGCACAACTTGTGCAACAAAGAACTCTGGTCCTTGGGAACTCCTGGGAACTTTGGGACCAAGTATATTTCTATTTTCTTCACTAGAAACAGAATCTCAGTGCCTGAATCTGGCTAAAATATAATAGGTAGGTAAGCATTTTATCTTCCATCTGATATTATTTTTCCCAGTTACTTAGTCACCTAGTTAACTGTCTTTCTGTCCTTATTCCAGATAATTTTTTAAATTTAAATTTTACTACTTCACTTCTTGTAGGTCATTTCAGATCTTCCCAGAAACAAGGCAGGACAGCAGCAGATGAGATTTGCTTCTTGAGCAGCTGCTGTGCGTCAGGCTGAGTTCTCTCGAGCTGAGAAGATCTGTGTGGCAAACACAGCTTCCCATGGCGAGATGCATGACTCTGGCCCACAGGACAGTGACGGGCAGGAGGCTGTGCAGAGAGAAAATGCCCACTGAGCCTAGAAGAGGCTTCTGTTGGCAGATGGCGCTAGGCCTGAGGCTCGAGGAATGTCTTGGGCAGAAGGCCACACTGGCCTGCCTACAGGCTCTGCGCTCACACCAACAGGAGGAATGAGGGACCGGACTTGAGTTGGAGCAGTGTGTCCAGCTTTCCAGATCGGTGACTCCGGCCTTGAGGGGCAAGGTCCCTGAGGAGGGAAACCCCACAGTGACTCTGCCACACCTGCGGAAGCAGGGGCCCCAAAGGAACTCCGGGAAATGCAGAACACCCAGAAAGAAGCTCAGGGAACTCCAGGACTCTCTGCCCATTTCCTGGAACAATCAGAAGCCCCTGATTATAAAGCCATGAACTAAAATCCATCCCTCCACTACCCTAATCCTGGCAGCCTCTCTTAGGGTCTCAACCCCATGGAGACACAGCCTGGCCTGCTTCCCTGACCACAAGGGTTCAGATGGTGTCAGGGAGCCCCTTTTTGAGGGCCCTAACCTCACAAGCAAATGCTGTGCATATATGAGTATGTTTATTAAAATCCAAATATGGGCAGAGCTGGTGACCTGGGAGGAAACAGACAAAGTCAGCTAGAGGTGACTGTACAGAGTGACTACTTAATCGCGCATTTCCTGGCTCATCTGTTCAGTCTGGCACAGAAGTCAGGGCTGCAGGGACCGGCCCTGCCTGGGGAGCAGTGGGCAGACTCCAAGGCAGCTGGTCAGCTCTTAGTCACAGCTTTGTACAGGCAAACAGGCAGTGGTGGTGACATCACCTACAGGGTCTTGGTGAGCACCATGGAGGTGACCCTCATTCTGTCCTCTTACAAAACCATTTTTAATTTTCTCCACAGATGTATGAAGGACAGAATGACTAGGGCATGGAACTCACTGCTGACATTCTGTGCTCACCCACTTGACGATCTGCTCACAGACTAGACTTTCTGTCCACTCTCTTTTGTCCACCAACTAATCTGATTCCCACTAGGGTGGCCACTGCCACACTGGCCATGGTTTGGATTTGGTGTGAGTATCCCTTGAGGCTTGAGTGCTCTGTTAACCCTCACTGTAAAGTATAAGGGAATGGAGATCTAGTCCAACTGTGGTGTGCAGAGGGGGCCTGTGGGAAGGAATAAATCCTGTAATCCTAGCCACTTGGGAGGCTGAATGGGAGGACACTGAGTTTGAGATTAGCTTGTGCAAATTAGGGAGGCTCTGTCTCAAAAAAAAATACATCATTAGATAGGGTCCTGAGGGAGAAGACCCCATGAT